TATATATATAGAGAGAGAGAGAGAGAGAGAGAGAGAGAAAGAAAGACTTACAGTCTCGTCTGTTAGACGACCGCACGCAGACATGGGCAGGATCGCATTGTTGCGGTAGGTAATCTTGTTGACCGTGTACCTGGGCCCTGGGTGGCTCTCGCCGGGATACGTGTAGCCGTGCATCTCGCCAAAGGGGCCTTCGGGGTGCCTCTCCGTGGTGGACATTGTGCCCTCGAGCACGATTTCTGCATTGGCCGGGACCAGGAGGTCGTTGGTGTCGCATTTGACCAGCTTGACGGGCTCTCCCGCAATGGCTCCCACGTATCCAGCCTCGCTGACGCCGTCGGGGATGGGCATCGAAGAAGCCATGATGGCGATGGGAGGGACGCCAAACGCCAGAGCCCAGGGAACCTCGGTCTCGCCCTGCTTCTCCCACAGGTCGTGGATCTGCCGGATGTGCTGAGGGCTGACGACGAGGCCGGCGAGAGTTCGCTTGCCGGACACCATGGCGCGGGCAATGGACCAGTTGGTCCAGCTGCCGTCGGGAGAGCGCAGAACGTGCATGCCAAAGGTCTGGATGTATTTCCCGCCGTCGGACTGGTGGACCATGGGCACGGGGATCTTGGTCAGATCAATGTCGTCTCCCTCGATGGAGTTTTCCTTGATGGGACCGGTGGGCACGACAACTGGGTCAATGGGATCGAGGCTGCTTGCGGACAGCATCTTGTCGATGATTTCACGCATGCTGGCAGTGGGAGGGAGGGCCATGTGGCGAGCCAGACGGCCGTATCTCTCGCTGGGAGACTTGCGGAGAGAGGCTGGAGCGCCGAGGATGCGCCAGAGACCATCTTTGGCGCCGATGACGTTGTTGAAGAGAGGTGCCTTGTCGTCGGTTTCGCAGACGAGGCGAGTGATTGCGGCGGCCTCGAGGTTTGGGTCGATGGGGGCGTCGATGTCGACGAGATCGTTGTCTTGGCGGAGGGCGTTGACGAAGGAGCGGAAGCTGAGATGGGGAGGCTCGGGGTCTGAGGGTTCACGGAGGGTGGTTTGAGACATGATGAGTTTGATTTTGTAAAAGGGGTTGATTGTTGGTTGGTTGTAGATGTGATGGAAGGATCAAGTGATGTCGACCGACTGGTTGACTGATTGATTATGTTGATTGAGTGGTTGGTCGATGGGATTGACTGACGGACTAACTCGTTGATTGACTGATTGATGAACTGCTTGACTGATTGATTGAATGTGTTGCTTGTTGGTGGTGTATAACTCGTCTCTGGCGGCTGCTGCCATGGCGATATATACTCAATCACATCTATAAACTTGTGGGAATTCCGGAACCCTTCCGATTGCGATTTTCGTCATCAGGAGATTCACGACGTCTGGTTTGTGCAAAAATGCTGCTCTTAATTCTGCCGAGTGCTTCGCTTTCGCCCAAGTATCCTGTGATGCCGTGATGCTCTGCCGTGGTGTATTGCCGACTAACATGGAGCTGAAATACTCCGAGGCTCCGAGATCGCCGCCACGCGCCTTTACAAAAGGGGCAGCTTTTAGCATTGAGCTTACATCTGTGGGCTCGGATCCTCGGAACATTGCCATCATTCTCACTCTCTCAACTTCATCGCAGCCAATCCAAGCCTCAATGAGTCTCCAGCAGAAAGAAATCGACCGAGTTTTGCATCTCCGTCGCATCTCGCAGGCTCGGTCCTGCTATCCGTGTCGCCAGCGCAAGGTCAAGTGCGATCACGGCCAGCCTTGCCAGACCTGCCGGAAACGAGGCCATCCCGAGATCTGCTCGTACAATGTGGGCACTCCCGAGAAGAAGCGCGGACGACGTGCCAAAGCAGCAGCAGCAGCCGCCGTAAGCACAGCTTCTCACAGGGGTGCTGTCCAAAGGGGGGGATCTGAGCCTGAGCCCGAGTCAGAACCAGAGGCCGGGCTTGAGCCACCACGACGGAACGATGATGCTGGTGCTCATGGCCACGAGTCCGAGCCTTCTCTCGCTCATACGCCGTCTTCTCTTGCTACAACGCAGACGTCAAACTCGATACTATTTACGAGATCTGCAGACACCACAGCCGCCAGCTGTCATCCACCCCGAAAAGAGCTCTATCAAGGAGGCAGCTCCGTTCTCACCATGTTGCACGGCTCAACCGACTCTCCCGCGGTAGAGATGAGGCGCAAGGCTGGCCCAGTCCTTGGCTTACACAATACCCTCGAGTTCTATCCTTTTATGAAGCTCAAAACATGGCAAGAGAGATGGGTGGCGTTGCTGAAGCTGATCCCACAGAAACAAGAAGTGTTACGGTACGGCCATGATGCATTCTCTCAAGTCCATCGATGCCGGATCGTATTACACACATGGCGCCATCTTGCTGACCATTGTACTCTCGCTGTTAGATATTTCCCCTCACATGGAGCGACGATATATCCCCTGAACCCTGTCATGCTGGATCCTGACGGTCTAGAGTCTGCTTTCTGCGAGTATCTCACCGCCCTGGAAGCTGGTGAACTTCGTAGTCCCGACGTGCCATCTTCGAAATGGGTCTGCAAAGCCTACATATCCAGAATTGCTTTGCTGCTGGCCGCACTTGCTACTAGTGCCCATTACTCGGTGATGCAATCTCCGAAGAAGCGGTCTGAGCATTGCCTCGACTTTGGTGAGAAACATGGCTTGTTGTTAATGTTTTCAATAGGTATATATATCAAGTGTACGTGTTAGCTAACATCATGTGTCTTTGTTAGTGCAACGCGCTTTTGACGCTCTACGTCTGGCCAACTATGTACTGCATCCATCACTCGACGGGATTCAGACCTTGCTCATCATCGGAACTGTTCTCCAGGATGTCGGACAGTCGGACGGCGCGTGGGTCATGATGGGCACCACAGTCCGGGCAGCGCAGGCGTTGGGCTTGCACACGCAGAGTGCGTCTCAGCAGTCTGATGACGGGGCAAAGAAGAAACAGGCACTTTGGTATGTCTACGCCTTTGCTTGTTGATTGGCATGATCATCAAACATCAGACTGACACTTACAAGGGATGCCATTTGTAGACAGGACGGCTTGCTGAGCCTGTGCCATGGCCGGCCGCACATTGCATCCAAGCAATCTTTTGCGACGGAAAACACTCTTAAACACTCCAATAGACCACTAGACTTCTCAGAGATGATGTGCGGCATTGTAAAAACTAGCAGCAGCCTTCTAGAACTGGAGCAGCTTAGTTGTGAGGCATCAATGAAGCTGCTGGCCGAGTTGGACGGATACCGATCGCGAGCCGCCCCGTATCTACGGTGTCGAGAGAAATGCACAAACATCCAGCAGCGCTACGAGAGCTTGACGATAGAAAGCCATCTGTCCTTTGCAGTCTCGATCATGTGCCGTCCCGCGCTATCAAAATCCGCTCTTACCGAGAACGAGCCTGACGTTGTCCGAGCTCTCAGGGCGCAGGCCAAGGACAGCTTGATGAGCACGGCAAAGGCATTCATCGATTTTCAGGCCGTGAGCATCATTCCCATCCGGACTTGGTCTTTGATTCACGCTGTCCTGAGTGCCACGATTGTGCTCTGTCTGTGGGAGGAAACGCGGCGTGACCAGGAGAGTCGAGATGTGCTGCAGCGAGTCATGGAAATCTTCTCCCGGGCAGCCCAGGCGGACGACGAGACTGGCATGATGGTGGATGCGTCGGGAAACAGCAATTGGCTGTCCATGAATCACATCAGAGCGCTGGTGGCTCTGCAAAACGCCATACAGACAGATCCCGCCCTGCACGCTTGTGGTGGTTCGTCGTCTCCTGAACGACAAGAAGCAGACGACGTGGTGCAGCAGAACTACTCTTTGCCGAGGGGGCAGAACACGGCACCGATAGATCCGATGATGGAGGCCGGGATGGGTTACAACTTTACCACAATGCTAGGCCAGAGGTACGTGTATGGATATCGATGTCGCCGAAAGGGAGTTTTTCTTACTGATGTGACTGCGCTTAGCTGGCCAATGGACGAATACATGTATCCCTGGGACACGTCGGGCCTGTCGCCTTTGATGTATCTCGACTCGATTATGAAGGGTGAGCATCGGCCGGCCGGGATCAGTAGTGTATGAAGCTGACTGAGATGATGTAGCGCCATATGAGGCCGTGGATGAATTCTGAAAAGGATGACTATCTTGTGAAACTAGTTGTCATTGGGTATAAACTATCGTATAATCGTAATACTATTGGAACTGTTTGCGTTGCGGACAAATTCTCTCTCTCATCTGGGATACTCCTGATCAAATGTCCAACTCCGATGACTTTATGATATAATGCCGTAACATCGGAGATAAACTAATGGAGAAATTGATGCTTCATAGTTTCAAACTCTGTAAAAGTGGTGATATAATGACGCTGATCGAACAAGTTCGGGGGCAGTTACCCCTATCTTCGGCGCCTCGGTAGCTCGGAGCGTGATGCTTCAACACACGCAGCTTTGCTCGGTGGTACGAGGCCACTCAACCGCTGGATCTGCATCAAGCAGGAGATGCTTCGGGGATTTAATGGACGACGGAACGTTCCGAGTTGAAGATGGATGCGTATAAAGATGATTGACTGCAGCCCTTGGTCTAGATTGTTTATCGTGACAGCAATTCAACCCAACCCAACTCACACAAACACTTCCACTTGACTCAGCTCAACCTACAAGCATTTCTCCTCTTTACCGAGAAAGAGATTCAACCCCAATTTCATATACACCATACGCATACAACTTGCTCATCATGTCTCCATCTCTTACAGCACCCGACAATGTCAACTCCGACACCTCCCGCCCTCAACCTCGCCGCAAGCGCATCATCGTCGCCATGACGGGCGCCACAGGCACAATCCTAGGCATCAAGCTCCTCATCGCCCTCCGCCGACTCAACGTCGAGACGCACCTCGTCATGAGCAAATGGGCCGAGGCAACGCTCAAATACGAAACCGACTACCACGCCTCCAACGTGCGCGCCCTCGCAGACCACGCCTACAACGTCAACGACATGGCGGCCCCCATCGCCAGCGGCTCGTTCCGCGTCGACGGCATGATTGTCGTGCCCTGCAGCATGAAGACGCTGGCGTCTATTTCTACGGGCCTGTGCGACGACCTGATTTCGCGGGCGGCGGACGTGATTCTCAAGGAGCGCAGGAGGTTGGTCCTGGTGGCGAGGGAGACGCCGCTGAGCGAGATTCACCTGCGCAACATGCTGGATGTGACGAGGACGGGGGCCGTTGTTTTCCCCCCTGTGCCGGCGTTTTATATCAAGCCTTCGTCGGTGGAGGATTTGGTGGACCAGAGCGTGGGGAGGATGTTGGATTTGTTTGATTTGGATACGGAGGATTTTGAGAGGTGGAATGGATGGAGCAAGGATAAGCAGTGATTGGTGCTTTGATGTTTTATTGAGGTTCATTTGTTTTGGTCATTTCTGGGTAATTTGGTGATATAGGGATATACATAGACAGCGATGATTTATTCATAGAAATGCAACTTTGAGACACCAAGATTACAGGCATCCGGGTCCAGAAAGCATTGGGCATAAATATCCGGTGAACAAGGTTCAATAATTTACTCCCCGTAGAGCAACAGATAGCAATTCGACGTGATTCTTTCAACTTCTGATTCATAAGATGAGCAATGGACCTTTATTACTCAAGCAATGTTTCATGTCATGACTCAGCCAAAGACAAGGTATGTGTCTTGGCATAAAAGTAAAGCCATTGAAATACTTGTCCCTTTCTTATAATCCGCCTTCACCTTTTCTTCACATCAACCAGATATCTCAGTCCACTCCGTCTCAGCCATGCATCTCCCTCTCAGGCTTTCCGTCGACATCTTCATGCTGGCTCTCGGCGCCGCCCTCGGCTACATGCTCGGGGCGAAAAACGGCCAAGTAATCCAGCAGGCCCTTGGCATAGGCGCCGTCGTGTTTGTCAGGCTGTGGGAGCGACGAAAGCAGCAACGGGCAGAGCAGAAAGCCGAGCGACGCGAGAAGCGGCGACGGCAGCGGCTACGGCGGGATGAGCGAGAGAGACAAATCGCTGAGCGGCGTGTCAATGAGGAGAAACGACGCGCTGGAGAAGACTAACAACTTGTGCTTTGCCGGTGGCATGGATCCAGCTGACCCAGACATCTCGCCCGAGGACGTTGAAGAGGCCAAACGTGACATCAACCATGACCCGGACACCGTCAACATTGCCGTTGCGGGCAATGCCAACGCCGGCAACATGAAGTCATCACTTCTCAACGCCAATCGAAACTTGAGCAACGACAGCCCTGACTGGGCTCCCACCGGCGGCTCAGAGGTGACGAGGCACCGACATCGCTACCCTGATCCGGCGCACAACTGCGTGTGGCATGATCTTCCAGGAGCTGGAACACAGAGCGTGACGGCGTTTGGCTACGACTATAGCCAGAAGCTGTTTGCCTACGACAAGGTCGTTCTGGTGCACGAAACGACGCTGACCGAGGTGAGTCTCACGATGCCGATGCTGGTGTCAGGTAATAGACAGAAGAGAGTGTTTGTGATTAATGGTTTGCCCGCCCAGTCCGATGTTCGTCTTCTGCAGGTCTGCAGGGTCTTCAAACAGCCGTGCATCGTCGTCAGGACAAAGTCGGACATGCACATCTACAACTACCTCAAAGAGAGACGCACTCCGAAGCGTACTCCGGAAGAGGCCAGAGAAGACTTCCTCAGCGACGTGCGACAAGATGTTGCTCGTTTTAAGGAACAGGCCGAGGCGTCACAGGCCAGGTTTGTGCCCAAGTTTCACGATTTTGTCGTCTCGACGGCGGGGGTTGAGGCTTTTGTTCGGATGACATGGTGGATGAGGCTGGTTTCTTTGAGGAATTGGAGCGACAAGAATATGATAGTGACAGCTAGAGTCGAGAAACTCGTCAAGTAAACAATGGTAGCGAGTGTTCCAGGTTTCAATCATAAAGGGCATATGGCATCATTGTCTTGGACCTAACAACCGGCCAATAGCATCAAGATGAATAGCAAGAAAAAAGACATGTTGGATTCATCACAGCATGAAAACGATGATACGTAGAAACAGCAAAAAAAGAAGAGCGACAAGAACAGGATTCGAACCTGTGCGGCCGAAGCCATATGATTTCGAGTCATACCCATTAACCACTCTGGCACCTTGCCTTGTTTGTTGAAAGTGTACGTGTTAGTCTAGGCTATATTACCGACTCAGCTAATGTGGCTCACTGCTGCATTACGTAACACCAGACCCTCTTTGAGCTGTTACCAGCCCAAGCGCTTCTTTCACTTCCATCTTCTCATAATCACAATCACAGCCATAATATCTATCTCTGCCTTGTTCAAGTCCAATTTGGGCTGTATACCCAAATAGGCAACTCAATCATTTATCTGCCAATACATCTTCTGAGCCCCCACCATGATACCATCTACCATGACCGAATCGGAACAGATACGATTCAACGACTAAATGAGATGGATCAAGTATGGACTGTCCATGTGCCCAATCAGAGCCTAATCAAGCCGGTGAGCCAATAGTCTGTGTCCCATCAGATGCATGCATCCTGTACTCTGTACGATTCTAAATGGATGGATCAATATTGTTCCCTGTTCGCTTCCTTCGAGGCTGAAACAATGTTATGCCATACACTCCAGGCATTCAGTCGGCCGTGAGATAGCATCACGGGCGGTTAAGCGTTTCACTCATCAATGGCACCTCGTGTAAGCTTCACAGGCCTCGGCCTCAACATCATACGAAGCACACAAGATGCACAAACTACTGCAAAACGACTTCCGCGACCAGTGGACAAATCCCAGCGATATTTTCTCGCTGCTGCTCCTCGTCGGCGGTGATGTGATCCAAAAGGCACTCGCCCAGTTCACCTTGAATCGCTTCCGGCCCATGGCCTTTTCCTTTGGCTGGGTTGCCTATGCCTTTAGCCATCTGCTGTTTGCCGTGGGAAACCTCAAAGCTCTTCCGGACCCAGATTGCCCTTGCACAATCACCAGAGCCAGTTCAATGCCCACTACCAGCGCCAATCAATCATGGCTTCTGGGGAGGCTGGTTCGGAATCACGAGTACTGGAGTCTTCCATTGACCAAGGACGCCCTGAAATCGGGCAGGATTTCGGACCAAGATGTCTCAATAGATGCCATCGTGGAACCCTATGCTGAGCCTCGTCCAAAGGGCCTTTTCAAATCTTTGTATACAAATTTATCCAAACTTCCTCCGTCAATCGATCCTTGAGCAAGGATTGGCCGTGGTTCTCTGGCCTCATCACCACCCTTATACAGTTAGGGATCGCTGCCATTCCGGCAGGTCTTTATGGCCAATGGGAAATACTGGTTATAACTGCTGGAGGTACTGCATTGGCCTACGCGACGGCGCATTTCTCGGGATATAACACGTTCCATGGCCATCGTACTCGTGTCAGCCGCACTGTTTTTACCTTGACCGAGGGAAATGGATCTAGGACTGCAATTGTATTCATAAAAGACTCGGATACCGGAGTTGACCTAGAACGTCTTACTCGGGTTGAGTTTACAGGAGGCAGTCAGGTTTGGAGGATAGCGGCGGCTTCCGTACAACTCGTCTTCTGGGTCGCTCTTCTTATCACTGTATCTGGCCTAAAGACTCACACCTGGTTCATGGTTGCCGTCGGTGCGTTGGGAATGATGCAGAACCTCGTCCTGGCCGGAGCGCCTCGAACACCTGAAGCCCTAGGCATACCCGTTCAGCTTGAACAAGTTGTGGGACTACCTAAGGTTATGGATACTCTGCTTGAGCTTGAGGCCAAGGTTCCTTATGCAGGCAAAGCCTTGCTACCCACATATTTCCCTGGTAGACTACGGGAGCGTGAGATAGAGAGGTGGGAAGCATTAGAGAGCGAGCATGAAAGAGCCGGTATCATCTCATGATCGCGACAGAAGATGGGTCTTGAAATCTGTTTTGTGGGATAAATACAGATCAATAACCCAGAAAGAAGAAGGCGATCATGAAACTATTAGTGAGCACTTACACGTTCACTGAATTGGCCCTAGCGATCGCAAAGACGTTTACAAATGCTTGCCAAATTTTCATTACTATAGAAGCGGTTCAACTATGGCCATTTACTTCTTTGCGCTCGTTGGATAGGTTAGATGGCCAGCGGTCAGCAAGCCATAACGCCTGCGATACATCAAGATAGAACCCGGATGTCTCTCTATTGCTTGCTATAGCTTAGTAAAGAATGCTTCTTTACCTATTCAAACTCTCTCTTTGCATTAGCTAGCTGGAACTAGTTACGGCGATAGATAGCTACAGTGTACGGAGTGCCCGGACTGTATATGGCTGTTCCCGATGCTTCCGCTCAACTAGACCATGTAAGCTCTTTATTCCCGCTCCCATTTCTCTTCCAACAACAAAGATAAAAGGGAGATAAAAATCACTCTTAATCTCAGTTTGTATTGTTACTTTTCATTCATTCTAAACTATGAAGAACCAGAAATCACCCCAAGGCAAAGTACATCGCTTTCTGCCCGTCGATCAATGGGACGATGATGGACAATTCCTTCCCGTACCACGCTCAGTTCGGTCCCGTCTGGCCGTTGTTCTCATGAAATCTCAGAAACATGACGACTGTGTATATGTCGCAAGTGTAAGGCCGCCAATACTTTTACCAAGATAGCAGAATTGGAGGCTTCTAACATCAGTAATAGGTAACGGAGGATCTGCACCCCAGCGTTTCCCAGGGGTGGTATATCCCAATTGCGCCACTACCCAAAGACTACTTCACAGACATGCAGCTGCACCTTTGCAATAGGCTACAGATGGAATCAACTCTACTATTTCAGTCATACTTACGTACGGATACGGTCTACGAAGTTCCTTTGCGGGCTTTGGAGAGACAATTCGACGACTATGGCATGCCTTTGGAGCTTGAGCAGGAGTCTTATGATCAGCTGCGCACGTTTTTGGTTGAAGACCGAGGCTTGAATGTGAGAACTATTGTGCCCCCGGATGTAGGGAGAGAAAAACCCGCGGCCATTGCAAAGAGGCAATCAATAAGTTGAACGACTATCGCGCAAAGTTACGTTGATGATTAGATGAAATGACCAGATGTTAAGGCACCATAGTGCTTGTATCATCATCTCACGCTGATAGAAGGGGATATTTACCAATACAGGCATTAGTATTATAAGATTACACCATCACGGCGCCGAAGCCAAAGTGCAACTTACATGTGATGAGCTCTATCGCGCCATGTGAGGAATATCTGCGTTCGCGTCTAGTTCATCGGGTTGAGGAGGCACGTCGAGCGAGGAGCGTGGTCGTGATGGTTATGAACCAAGCCAAGTTAAGAAAGATGTTGAAAGCCAGTCAGAAGCCTCGTCATTGTCAAGACCTACGAGCAGACGCACATAATGATGAGCGATATTGGGCAACGGGGGATATAATGCTGTCATTATGAGTTGATAAAACAATGGAGGATACCTATCATGTTGAACAAGAATTGAACAAGGCTATGCCAATAATTACATGACATGAGCATGACACTTCATCTCAACTCCAACTATCCAACGTCTACCCTGCCTCAGAAATATTCAACGGCAAGGAGTCCAAAGCGGGAGACTTCCGATCCATCAAACCGGGTCTGATAGGTGAAAGAATTTCTCTCCCTAATCCTCTTGGCATTAAGAAGCATACCATCATCATCCTTATAATCGCAATTCTCGTCATCATGATGCTCGCCATTGCCATTTCCATTTTCGCCCCGGTTGCCGTTCGTAGGGTTTCCAAGTGTATCGATAGGGTTTCCATGCCCAAGCTTTTCCTGAGCTTCAGAAAGCAGAACTCTGGCCTGCCCCAGGATCCAATCAACTTCTCTTTGAGCTTTGGCCTTGGCTTTGATATAGTATTGCAGCGTATGAATGAACCACTCGCCACTCCAGTGCAGCCCGTCTCCCTCAGAATCTAGGCGGTCCTCGATCCATGTCCACAGGTAACCGCCAGTCCCAAAGGGATCGCATATGGGAGGATCCGTCATGCCGAGTATTTCCTGAGGGAGCAGCTCCCACTGGTCGTGATCTAGCGGAAAGCCGTTGCCCATGACTTCAACGTACTGGCGGTCGCTGCCGTAAAAGGCGCGGCGTTTGAGCTCCGTGGCTACTTGTTCCTGGGTGGGCGCAATGGACTTTCGCTTGAGTCGTTCGTCAACGAACCACAGTGTGCTGTTTGGCGTAAACATGGCTGCCAAACCGGCAATGTAGGCGACAATAAACAGCTTTGAATTGGCCTCGTGATCTGTGGGCGACAAATTGTGCCCCCAAGCCGGATTCAACTCCAACGCAACGTTGGGCAGATAGCAAAGCGTCCACAGGTCTCGCCCCAAGGGCATCTTCCAGTCCCAGATGGCATTCTAGATCGCCGTCGACTGCAGAAAGATCAAGTCCTTGTTCGGGAAGAGGCTAAAGTAGCGATCTTTTCCCAAGTCTCTGAAATGTACCAACACTGGCAGATCCAGCAGATTCTGTCGCTTCAGCTCGTTGAGGAACATGCCAGAATGTAGTCCAAGCATGCGATTCCAACTTGCAAACCCATACGCCTCCCGCATGACGTCGCGTGACTGTTTACACGCAGTCCATAAGCCGCTGTCGGTGAGGTACGTGGACGGGTTGTGAGCGTCAAACGAAGGGGTCACTGCCTTTGCGTTTCTGAAGAACCAGCCATAGCCGCCGTCTCTTGGCCCCAGCCTGGGAGGTCCCAATGGCATCCATCTCGGAGTAAAAGCACTCTCGAAACGAGGCCGTGGTTCCTCGAGGGAGAAAATGTGCACCCCGGGGACGCTGGACGGCGCAGTGCAGACGCGTTGCCAGATCTCCTTCATCATCTTTGGAGAGCGGAAGTAGAGAGACGTGCGTATTGGTAGAGGGATCGGGTGCGTATCGATTGCCATGTTTTGATCTGTGACTGCTTCTGCCTCCGTGTCCATGGTGATGTCCTCGTCTGCATCTATATGGCCGTTTCCGTTTGTAGTTGGCATCTCCTCAAGCGCTAGAGTCGTTATCGTGGAGGCTCTTTGGTCTTTTAGATGGAATAATGCGGCACCTGTGGAAATGATAAATAGTATAGACAGGCAGGAATAATACGAAACAAGGAGATATTGAGGCAGAATTTGAAGAGTGTTGATTCAACTAATGTGTAGATGCAGATGTAAAGATGGAGATACCCTAGATCGAAGTTGCAGAGGCACATGTAAACAACATCAAAGATGGACAAGGTTTACCAAGGCAACGCCGTTTCCCTCTTCCTCGTCGCTCTTGCTACAATATCAAGTTTCATCCTCTACAAATGTGTTTTTATCCGACGGTGCTTTTCTCGTCATATTGATAATTACAGGTGCTTTCTTCTAGGAATCACCTTCACGATTCAAGCCTCGATTGCTTCCTATTGCCGCCCTATTGCACTGGGAGACGACGGAAAGCAAAGAATCCGTGTAATCCATGGCAGTAGTAAGCATGCAAGGCATCAGACTAATACTCGTACTACCAAGAAACTGTTCCTTGCATAACAAGGCAGAGGCTGATCTGATCTGTGCCAGGGAACCGCGGGAAATAGACGCGTCCAGCCAATAAGCAACAACCGATCGCCAACGCAATCTCGGAACTTATCTTGCCCGGGTAATGAATGATTCATCCCCGTAATCCAGAGGCAAGGGAGCACATCGCGTCCCGTCTCTTATGCAGGAGTGCGGTCGAATGAGAGGTGCGAGACAGGGGTTTGCAGGTGCGGCTGAGGCCTGGACTCTTGTCCCGTCAGAGCTGAGGATGGTGAATGAGTGTAGCAGCAATTATGAGAAAACAGGGAGAAGACGGGACAAAACTATGGAAAAAGAAGCAGTTGTGTCGCTACGAGTATACGCACAATAGCTGGATTCACACACTACGTCTTTACGCAGCCCACTATCTCGCTGGGAATTGACTCTTTTGCCTCAACCAATCTCAGTTTTATTATCCATGCCGCGTATAATGGCCGTATCTGTCATCTCATACGGTCCATTGCTTGGCTCGGCGGCTCACAAGCGTACAACTTGCGTTACTTGATCACAGGGTAATCAAAATGCTGTGACACGGGCTGAACAATCTCCATCCATGTAACCACTTATACACATTATACACAGACATTATACACAACACAAGCACTCCGTAGGTACAGTATCCCTCGTCTGAACCAATCCAACAACACCGATCCGCTCTGCATCCGATGAACCGCCCACCTCAATCAAGCATAAACCAAGATATCCCGTCCCTCGCTACTCACTCACTCACTCAAAATAACACTCAGCCGCCATCAAATCATACCCTGCGTCAATAGAACCACTTAATCTTCCCTCATCCCGAAAACAGCTCCGCAAAAACTGCGACATGCATGCTTTGTGGCACATGTCAATTACAACATACAGCAAGCCATCCGCCAGCCGTGCTCCATCTCCCACACTACCCAAAACTTCACCCACACAGCAATACAAGGGAGAGAATACGAGAAACAACTTTTCAAGTCGATCTCAATAGCCAACAAGACATCATGAATAAAATAATTCTCGTCACTGAAAGCAAAACTAAGGGATGACAAAAAGTAACCAGCACGAACCGGCGAACAAGCCCAATTTCACCACTCCTGCAAGGGCACCGCCAAAATGTCTCGCTCCCCCCATCCATCCATCCATTCATCCATTGTCTCCCCAAAAAGCCGGAATAGCAGTCCTCCGAAATGACTCCAAGACAAAACGCCTCTTTTTTCTTTTTTTCCCCTCCCCTCTCCTACGACGCTGTCAGCAAATAATACTGCTTAACCGAACGCAAGGAGTGGCTTACACGGGAACTATTGCTTCTTGGTTTTTCGCCCCTTTCATGCAGGGAGAAGAAGCAAAAAAAAAAAAAAACAAGAAAGAAAGACTCCATCCTCACGCAGCTCATGATACACAAGAGATGTAATAGCAATATCAGCTTTCCCCTTTTTTCCATAACCCTAAAGGAGATAAATAGCAAGTCCCTTTCCCTCTCTTCTTTTCTTTCCCATCCATAAAGTCAGCTTCATTTCCCATCCCGCTCATTCAATTCACTCGCTAAGTTCAGCTTCACTTGCAACTCATTCACTTCTTTTTAATACTATTCTTCTTCTCGTCGTATACAAACACCATCAGTCAAGATGCAGTTCCTCGCCGTTGCCGCTCTCCTCTTCACCTCAGCTCTCGCTGCCCCTTCCGCCGACGCCAACGGCGTCTATCGTCGTGCCAACGCCTTCTGCCCCGACGGGCTTTTGTACACCAACCCTCAATGCTGTGATGCCGATGTTCTTGGTCTCGCTGATCTCGACTGCGTTACTCGTGAGTCCCCTCAGTATTAAATTCATCATATTCCCCCCTGCGACTAACAAAGCAAAAACAGCCCCTTCGGCGCCGACCAGCTGCAAGTCATTTGATGGCATCTGTGCCAGCATCGGCCGTGAGCCCAAGTGCTGCGCCGTCCCTATCGTGGGTCCCTCTCTCTCAAACATCCTCATCATGATATGATCTAACCAAATCTTTCACCTAGATTGGCGTGGCTCTTCTCTGCGTCGACCCCGTCCCCCAGTAAATAAGACCTTGACCAACCTTCTGGCCGAAAGTCGGGTCAATATTGGGACAGGCTTTGTACATTGAGCTCTCACTCGTAACGTGTTAATTATGTGTCGGCTTTGGATCAACCAAGGATAAGGATGGGAGTGGCGGGTTGGAGGGCATAAATGGCTTCACTTCGATATACACCTTTTTGACATTACATTAATGGATATAATGTTTCGTGCTCGGCACACTCTTTACATCCCAGCTATTTTTCTCTCTTTCTAATTACAACGAATACACGATGTCGCCTTCGCTTTGACTTTCTCATGACCCCAGCACCTTGATTAGCATCACGTCTCCCTTGCATCGAATTGTAAACTCCCTTGCGTCCGCTCGTAAGCCCACATTCAATAATGCTCCCCTTTTTCTGTTGAACTTGCTTTTCGCTTTTATGACCCTGAAACTGTGTTGGATAGCGACGCCAATCGGATTCTAGCCTCAGAGGAGGGCCATGTTGGGCGCGTGAACCCGCCAACCGCTTTGCATCGGGGAGCTTTTTGGCTTGTGCTTTTCCGTATTATTCGGGAGTGGCCCCCAACACCCCAATAATAATTCAGCATACCTGTATGCTATACTCGTACGGAACAGAAGCTTGAAATAGACCTGGGATACGGCTATTTTTGCTGTCCTTTTCCCAAACCTGATATATATGTGTATTAGTCTTTCATCGTAGTGTAGGCTGATGGCGTTGAACGCGGCTACCCTTTATTCCTCTGGCGAACTGAGCACGCCACTGTGCAGGCTTCCAACAATCACATAATGTTATATCTTGTCTAAATCAACATAAAGGACAAGTATCTCATAGCTAATTAATTTGACAATGGAAAATAGACACGCCGCAAATATATGCATGCCACTACAATTCATCCATCATCTGCTCTTCTTCAGTCTCAACGACAAACCACTCTCTGACCAGGGCAGTACCAGACACGACCTTCTCCCACAGCTCAGATACACAGCTCTGAGGTGCCAGAATGTAGCACTTAGGCGTAGGCCTCTCGGGCGCCTCATGCCTGACGTGCCAGGTATCACTCGGCCCATCTGTCGACAAATCGTCCTTGACTGGCAGCAGTCCGGTCGCGATATCGCGGTTAAACGTGGCGCGCATGAAAATGTCGTAAGCAGCTTCCGGCTGGTACGATGGCACCATGTGGCCCGCCTGGAACACTCTGGAAAAGCTGTAATTACCATATTGTCGAGTCAGGCCAGACACGCCCTTCTCCGACAAGAGTGGTGCGTACCCTGCATTCGCAAAGTCTTTGGAGTGGGAATAAGGCACCGCCAGGGAGGCCCTTTCACCGCCGATCCAGTTGCATGCGTAGTCACGATCACCGTACATCATGTGAACTTTGACGCCGTGGTCAAGCAGATAACCCACGGCGTCAATGAATCCTCCATGCTGGTCGTCGTGAGAGCTGGCAAAGTTGCTGCTCACGGCAGCGGAAGTGGCGGTAAAATTGACTGGGGATCCAATGGCAGCTAGAACGGCCTCCTCCGTCAAATAACCATAAACATGGCTCGGCGGGAAGGGATCCCGGAGGGGATGGCTAATATCGAACCAACCACTGTCGAGACCAAAGTACGTGCCAACGGCCGCACCGTCGCACCAACTGTCCATCTCGCAGAGGTCGACAAAGTTGACTCGCTGGGCGTTGACGGTCGCAACGTCAAAGAGACTGAGGCTCTGCTGGCATCTCTTTAGTTGGTCTCTGCAGCCCTCTGGCTTTGTAAAATTGTGCTTTAGTTCGTCGTAGATGGACTGGTTAAAGACTTGGATACCGTAAGTCTGGTGGCGAGAAATGAAATAAATCATTAGTAGTGCGTTTCAAAGTGACAAAGGGATGGCCTTTTTCTTTGCTTCTTCTGCATGTTAGAACTCACATTGTTGTACGGAAAGTCAATGTACGCCTCCTCTTGAATCGGCGAGTCGAGCCAACCGTTGACAATACCGAGCGTATCCAGGTGAAGGAAGTGGGCGTGCTCATCCTCAATCGTGCCATCGGCAATCTTCTCGTTTTGCTGTTGAAAGAAGCGCATGAATCCTGGGCCATAGTGGCCTCCATAACTCTCGGCCCAGATGCTGATGCGATCGTCGCTGGGCTTGTAGTGAGGAAACTCGGAGAACCAGGCCTGGGCAAAGTGCCACAAGGCGTGGGCAGCCTGAGCAGTGCTGTTGGTCGTGTGAGTGGGTTTCTGGCTGCTGAACGTGCCAACCATGGAGGTAAAGTTGAGGTCGGGGATATGGGTGGAGAAGTCGGCGGGCTCGAGCTTGAAGCCCCCGTCTGAGAGATTGGCCGTGCAGTTGGTGGGAGCATCGTATGAAAAGCCAACTTGGTTGGGCTCGTCAATGTACAGCATATTGACCTCGTTGCTCCAACTCCAAGGGTTGAGCACGGTCGACTTGGAATCTTCATTCACAAAGCAGGGGCCGTTTTCCATGAGCAGACCGAGCATGGACGAGGACCCGGGCCCTCCATTGAGCCAGATGGCGAGGGGAGCAGTATCAGGGTTCTTGCGGGCCTCAAAGAACCAAAAGAAGCTGGAGATGGCGTGAGAAATGGACCGACTCCGGACTCTCTTGTGGGTTTGCACTCACGTGTTGACGGGGTAGTTTTGAGGCTCGCCGTCTGTATCTTCAAGGAGCCGCGGGGGAAGATGGACGTGGCCGGCATACGACCTGACGCCTGGAGTGGTCTCGCAGATGCCCGGCTAATTCATTCAGTCCAGTCAGTAAAAGGACTCTCAGCGGGCGAAGCTGGGAGCAATGAACAATGAACAATGAATCGGGCCACAAACCTCCTTGAAGGAAATGGTGACATTCTCGTGGAACTTGGACCTGAGCACGGTGACGCCCTCTGGCTTTGGCGGGAACTGAGCAATCGCCAGGCTGGCCAGGCCACCTAGCACCACTCCTGCCGACAACATGCTGCGATGAATCAGTTGGCTGTTCACTTGAGGCCGACTTATCAGCAACTCAAACAAAGCAAAGTTGAGTCTGGACGCCAGTCGCGGGGGTTCGGCTTGAAGCGCGGTGGCTGAATTGCGTGTGCCAGTCTAAGCCGAAAAAGACAGGCCCCGATGATTGGCCACTGATAGACCAGGGGTGGCTGTCCGGGGTAATGAATTGGGGGCCGTCAGAAGCAGTGGATGGTTGCTGTACTCAGGCTTGACAGGGCCTTCAGAGTATGAGCACAATGGTGCAGTACTGCTGCGAGGAGGAACTGAATTGAAGCAAAGTGTCACTGTTGACGCGAATTGTCCACCTTGTCTGTCTCTTCGTCCATGGAATGTAAGCGAGGGAGAGGAGCGGGCACACTCTCTCTCAGCTGATGGCACCACTGTCTTGAATAGCCAAGCGGGATTCGTCCAGCAAAGCGCCATGGATTAATAGCTCGACAAGCACATCACAACCCAAGACCCGATGGTTTGGTCAATGAAACATATCACAAACCTGGGGTAGCACATGATTCAGCTCCAGGAACCAGCCGGCAGATGGGCCAGAGCTTTGCCGCCAAGTTCACCGTGGAGGAGGCAGCTCGATCAACGAATTGTAGGCGGAGTAGGTCTCAGTGTGAGAGGATCGTTCTGTTGTTGCAATGAGAGAACTGAGGCCCGGATGGTCCAATCAACGCCAAATACATCCCACCACCTTTGGATCGCGGTAAATGAAATGTGTCGGAATACGGAGTGTACAGAGACTATTGCAGCCTCACATTCTCGTCGTGGTCTGCCACCCTGGGCCATATCAGTCCGAGTCGCACAACATTGCGAAATCATACATCATGGTCTGAATGACAAATATTGTCGCAGAAGGGCGGAATCTGTCGCAGCGACACGGAGGCAACGTCTAATTGCAATAGGCTGCCACGCGCCAAACAAGACGTCTCGACTCACGCCGATTATCACATTTGCTCATAGTTCTTGTGGATCTTGGAGGTTCGCGCGAACGTACTGCAGCGCCTGCATCCAGTCTCTAACTACACCACCCGAGGCAAAGCCCGTAGGGCGATATTCCTGCGGCCAGCAACGCAGGAGACAATCTTTTCCACATGTCTTGGTACTAGGCGCGCACCGCAACGGTGAGGTGGGCATTCGCTTATTGCCTTGAGCAAGCTGTAAATTGAAGCAATATAATGGCACTTCAGGTTGCACAATGCATGGATACTGATTTTTGCTGCGTTGAAGGGGAATCCCTGGCAAGCCCTAGCTAGTTTGGCTCTTGGGGAGAAAAGCGTTCATCGGCTTGGCATCTCATTTCGTGAACCTCCAGCTAGAAGCTCTTGGAGAACGAACCAAGATCCGAGGAGCATTCTCATCCAATTGCTGCCCTGTAGCAATCTAGCAGACTTACTAGGTAGATATAGGTAGGCCTAGTAGTATTCTGCGAAGAAAAGAAAAAGAAAAAAAGTTCCGCACTTGGTAATTTGCAGTCCCTTGCTGGCGTACCTTTGGCAAATTTCGAATTTCGTTGTAGGGCTGTTCCAGGCACAATGTTATTAGTCAAATGACGCATCTAGCCTCAGATTGCAAGATCGGCCCACAGTTGGCTTCTGCTGTTCAGGTTCGATCTCAACGCCAGTCCGGAGAGAATGGCGATCGTGACGAGGATCGTGGTGCAGGTAGCCCAATGACATGCCCGTACTGGGCGACCAAAGTTGGCGCCTAATACTTAGCGAAAGTGACAGCTCCCTTGTTCGCAGGGGCGATGGAATTAGATTCATTTGCTAGCCCAAAGAACTCTCCATGTGATCGTCCTGCAGGTAGGTAGGCATTTTCTGGAAACGTTGATGTGAGCTGAGCTGTTCGTATCCGTCTATCCCACGATCGTTTGCTGTGCCTTTGCGCACGTTGAGTAGTAGGTGGTACTGTCGGGATAATACCTCAGAGTATCTCAAGAAGTGGGATCCGTTCCATCTCCATACAAAGCCTCATGTTTCGAACGGGTTGTCACGCTTATGCCAAGGGCAGAGCGGA